ACTTAAATAAGCTGAAAGCCTCTTTGCCTAGCTCTGCAGTAGACCTGGATGCTGGGCCCTCTCTGACTGGGGAGAGCTGGAGTGAGGCTCACCATAGATCTGTCTCAGGGGCACAGAGTTGATGAGGTCGATGAAAGGTGTCTTCTTCTCCACCTGGGTCTTCTGGTACCACCACTGCAAGTACCTAAGGAGCAAGGGGCAGTGTGAGTGGAGGGGCGGCGGGCGGCAGTCACCGGCCTCTCTTTGGACACCCAGTTGTGACTTCCCGTTAAATGTCCCGAGGACCCATCGCCTTCACTTCCAAACCTCTCCTACTCTCAACATCTCTACAATTCAAGGTCCTCTCATCTTCCCAGTCACCCCAGGTCACAGTATGGGACTGCCTTTGTTTCTCCTCTCTACTCTCCTTAGAAGCAGCTTTCTGATCTTTTCACACCACTAACTCCACCACCACTGCTTTAATCTACTCCAGGAACTTTCGTCTGAGGTGCTGAAAGGGCCAGTTATGGTTTCCTGATTTATAATCACTCCCACCCCACATACAGGCATAGGCTGCTGCAATAACTTTCTTCTTTTTAAAATGATGATTTTTCTTCCTGATTATGAAAGGTGAAAATTTGGAGAATGCACTAGGTGGAAGGTGAAAAAAATCCCACCCATATACAACCAGTGTTTACATTTTGGGGCATTTCCTTTTAAGTCTTTTTCTTTTCTTTTTTTTTTTCCTTTTTCTTTTAAGTTCAGCATTTAAACCGTAAGCTTTCTAATTTTACTCTCTCATAATATCCCAGTAAAGCATTCTAAAAACCCCAACATTTTCCTGGTCTTATCACAGCTCTGTATCCAGTAGGCAAAAGATTCTGTTTGGGATTCAAGGCTTTGATATCTCTCTCAAGTCTATTTTCTAATCTTCCTTCCTACAAATTCCCATTCAGAGTGGGTCCTCATTAAGCAACCCCTGCCCCGCCCAGCTCTCTCCCAACTCCACTCTTCTCCCTCACCAGCTAGTTTATACACATTGTTCAAGCACACCACTTGTAACCATGTAATTGGGTAACCCCGCTGAGGCTTAGTGTCCTCATCTACAAAATGGGGATACCTATTGCCCTTCCTACCTCAAGGAATGGTTGGAAGGGCAAATGGCACAGTAGGTAGGAAAGCCACCAAGTGGAATATCTGTGCATACACTGTCGCAACTCCCAGTCAGACACTGTCCTGTTATTTTAGTGTTCCTCATGTGAGTCTGACATACTTTTAAGTTTCTTGGGGAAAGGGACAGTGACAAAGACTAGCTGATTATTACCCACAGCTTCAAGCACAGGGCAGGGCACATGGTCTGCAGTCAGTAACTATTTGCTGAATTTACAAAGAACGTATGTACAGACAATGGGGCATAAGAGAAATGAACAGGGACGGGAGCAAGGGAACGGAAAATCTGACTAAAGAACAGGGAGGGTACATTCTGGGGGTGAGAGGCGAGGGAGGGAAGACGAAGGATGGGATGATTGGAAGGCAGATCTTTTTTGCCAGCTTAGAGGAAACTGGACTTTGAAACTGGAGGCCACAAAGGATTGGTGAAGGGAGGGAGGGCACAGCGCGGATTAGGGCAGTGAGGGAGAAATGCAAGATATGAAGATAGGCAGAACAAAGGAGTATCAGGTGCAGAACAAGCACTCAATACATATTTATTGAATGAATGGATTCTGGCTGAAAGGGAGAGCACCAAAATTGAGTTCTTACCGCTCTAAGGCGAAGAGAACTCTTTCTTGCTGGAGCTCCTGATCACAGTACCTACCCCCAGTTCAGCTCCCTCTCAGAGCCCACCTTTCTCTCACTCCACTTAGCTGCTGGCCATTCCTGACCTATTTGGCCTTTTCCATAATCTCAGCCCCCACTTAAGAATAATCATTCAGAATTCTTCCTTGTCTCACCCCTGCTTTCTCCTCAATGCAAGACCTCATCTCATTCCAAAACCCCTGTGTCAGTGATCCGCACCCTGTCCTGGGATGCAGAGCTAAGTCCAGGGGGCTGAGCACAGCTTCAGGCCTCTGTGATTCAGCTCATACTTAGGGACTGGGGGGTAGGATGCCTACAGATGGGTTCTTGACCTCCACGTCCCCACCACATGCACCCCAATGTGCTGCTCTCAGTACCCCAGCCCTAGATCCTATTTTGACCCAAAGCCTTTTGGAGTCAAAACTAGGCCGGGTCAATTTCAGAAGCAGCCTGGAGGGATTATTTTTGTCTGGTACAGGCCACCCAGGGGAGCTGGCAAAGGAGTCAGATACCCAGGCAGCGACAGGCCCTTCCCACTGCCTAGGGCTTGGGTTAGGTACATGGGCTCCCCACCCCAGCCTCAGAGCACTGACTGCAGAAGAGAAGGAGCCCCTATTTAAAAGGTTGCCAGGCCTGGGTTTCCCGAACTTTAAGCCTCCCTTCCCCAGCTCTGTGTTTACTGTGTGGACTGACTCAGGATGACCTCTGGGCGATGCTTTCTGTTCTCACATCCACCTGTTCTTGTTAATAGGTCTTGGCCCCATCACTAGTCTTTGAACTCAGTGGGGATCTAGAGGGATCTGGATGAGTTCTACAGCCCAGGATAAGCTCTTGGAGTGTCTGCCACCCTTGTGTGGGGGGAGACCAGGAAATGCTCTGGAAGATTATTACTAAGCTCTGGGGACACCCAAGGCAGTGCCTCTCTGGTCAAAGGTCTTTGCTTTTTATATAATGGGCCGTCTATTCCGGAATAGAGTGAACAGCACCTCTTATCGCTCTCTCCTTATGGTTGAGTGCAGGAAGGCTCTCACCCTCTCCCTGGAGCCAAAGCTTGAGGAAAGAAGCTGATGGGTGTTGGGACTATTAAATGCTGTGCCTAAAAAAGGTTCAGTGAATACTCCAGCTGCTCAGGAGAATCTGGGGCTGAGAATCCCGCCCCCTCCCCAGAAAACAACATTGTATCAGTACCACAGCTGCCAGAGTATCCCTTCCTACCTTGTCACAAAGTATAGCTAATCCCAAAGAGCAATCTCTGGAAAAGAGGGTGTATGTGAGAGGGAGCCTAAATGACTACAAGGCCCAAATGCTCCTGCTCTTTCTTGCTAAAAAGACAAGTTACTGGAAGGAAGGGGGTTGCAAAGAGATGTGACCTGGTCTCACCCTCCAAAACCACGAGCTTAAGAATTACGTTGGGAATGGGGGCCACCTGACTAGGACAAGGTATCCACCTACTTTCTCACCCTTTCCTGCCTCTGCTGGAACAAAGTGAGGTATAAGGTAGTCTGGGCAATGGGATCTACTCACCTCAAGCCCATGCCCAGATGCTTCATTAGGTTGCTTAGCGAGACATTGTTGGCATTAAAGGGTTTCCTCTTCTCTGCAAACTCGTGAGCCAGGCAGATGCGCCAGCCAAAGGGAGGCACCTGGTAGCCCTTGGCTTTACCCTCATAGGAAGCCATCAGCTGCCCAAAGTCCTGCGGATTGCTGTAGCCCCGCTCATTCTGGGGTTGACTATCTTCAGGGTTCTGGCAGTATGTAACCTGCACAGCTTCAGTGCCTCCACTATTTTCTGGGCAATAAGCTTGTGGATCCCCTTTGACACAGCTGGTCTGTTCCGAGGCTGGGACTCCGGTTCTCATATTCCCTGGATTCTGGGTCCCCACGACCTCGGTGGTCCCGGTTCCCGAGCTTTCTGGTACAAAGTATCTGGCCGGCCAAGCCCAGATGTGGGCGCGGATTGTTGTTAGGTGTTCTCTCGGAGGGCCGGCCTCTGGGGAAAGCTGAGGTGAGCTGGTGTCTCCGTGGAGCCGGGGAGCTGTTGCTGCTGCTGCGGTGGCGGCGACAGCAATAAAGTCGCCACGGTCTCCCCCTCGCTCGTCTCTCTGGGTCCTGGGCGGGAAGGATCGGGCCTCGACGTCATTGGGCCGCGGTGATTAGCTGGCCCTGCCAAAGGGCGACTGGCCCCGCGGAGAGGGGAGGAGCCCCCGGGACCAGCCCGCCAGGCACCGCCCCCGGGGCCGGCCTGGGAGCTCGCGGCAGCCCCGGCCCAGTCCCTGGGCCGTGGCACCTGGCCCCCCCAGGGGTGGGCGCCGGGTCCCGCCGGCCAGTATCCGGGACGGCGCTCGCACCCGGGTGCCAGCCGTGGGAAGGTGACCCAGGGCAGCGGGACCACTCGAGCCCC